TGCAATGGTGTGTGACAGTGACTCTGATGATGCATTATTAAAACAATGACCTGGGGCCTCATTTACAAAACAGCACATGGGACCATACTAGAAGTGTATATGTGCACAGAGACTAAAATCTGTGTGTCAAAGGATAATCAGGTTTATATAAACTGCAGACAATTCCCCTTTATAAATTAAATGCATATGTGGATCCCTATTTCACGCTCTGCGTGGCATTTAACCATAAATAGACTTTGCAAAGCACCTTGTGAATGGAGATGCATAGCAATGAGCCTGCTGATCGATGGGTCTTTAGTCCTCTAGCAGTGTCCACCACCAAACAGCAAGATGCAAGTTTTACTGCGGGTTTTATTTTTAAATTTTACAGCAGTCTGACTGATTATTTCACAAGATGCTGAACTGATAGCAGCAATCATCGTTTTCTTTTCATTCCGTCTGATTCCTGGGGGTCTTCTTTCTAATATTCTAGGGTCTTTACCTTGCGATATACAATTTAAAGCACCTCGAGGTAACAGTTGTTGTGATTTGACACTATGTAAATAAATTTGAACTGAACAGAATGGAATTGGCTGAACTTGTCTCATGATACGATAATGAGGATAAACCATGCTAATGATGTAATTGTCTTTATTTTAGGGCTGCTCACAATGGTTTAAATGTACAGATGGTGAAGTGACAAAAGGTGGAACATGTGGGTGGCAGCTCAGTGAGCTCTGTGCAAGAAGCATCGGGAGAATACAGTAAAGAATTGCCATTATTATAATTATTATTATCATACAACTCCAACTCCATCCACAATTCCAAAGTTGGGACCCGAATCGCAACACAACTGAAAACATATAAGTGTTTAAATTGAGCCATTTTACTATACAAAATGCCAGCTCATGGTAGCATCACACAGTAGGGACCATGCCATCTTCTTTTAACAACAATCCATTCAATTCAATCAGTACTGTAGGATTCTAGCTGCTCTGTCTGGACTGCAGGCAGGTCAATTCAGCACTTGGACTCTTCTGCTATGAGGCGACGCTGCTGCAATAGCTGTAGAATGCAGTTTAGTGTTCTGGGTGGGAGCATATGTTGCTCTAAAATCTTTATATACAGTACCTTTCATCACTGATGGTGCCTTTCCAGATGTGCAAGCTGTGGTTTTCATAGACACTGATGCACCCCCATACCATCAGACATGCAGGGTTTTGAAATCTGCTGATAACAGACAGTCCTTCTTCTCTTTTGTTTGGAGGACGTGGCATTTGTGTTCTCCAAAACAAATTTAAAAATTTTGATACATTTGAAACATTCTGGCAGGTTTCATTCTGTATGTTGAATCTAGGACGACTGGTTTCTGGTGTTGATTATTAAATGACACGAGGAAAAAGTGATAAATGATGAACTTATGTTTAGTTTTCTATCTATTATTTATTTTTAAGAAATAAGTATATTGAATGATGCTTTACCTTTTACCCCAGGAGGCAGTTTAACCCCTCTGTTGTGTGCACCCCCAATTCAATTCAATTTAATTTAATTTAATTTTTTTTTCTGTCATTTAATGGTTGGGCATTGCACAGCTACAAGCATTTCACCCCCATGCCATACTGTGTATGGTTGTGTGTGTGTGACAAATAAAATTTGAATTTGAATTTGAATTCAATTTTATTTATATAGCGCCAAATCACAACAAAAGTCGCCTCAAGGCGCTTCGCTTCGCCCCCCTTAATTTAGTGCTCTGTCACAATTGGCCAGTCAGTTTTAACAGCTCTTAAATTAACACAAGAAACATTTTTTACAACTAAATTCAGTTCAGTGGGCCATTCAGTGGGTTGTTCAGTACGTCATTCAGTGGTTCATTCAGGGGGTCAGAGGCCAAAGGGGGTGGGGGTGGATTCTCATTCATTTTCTATGGCAGGCACTTTTGCATCCTGTCACTGGCAAAACACATGCTTGGGTTAGGTTAATTGGCAATTCTAATGTGGGAATGGTTGCCAAAACACAAAAAACAACCCTTGAGACAAAACACAAGAGTATGTAAAAGTATCAAGGGGTAGCCCTCTAGCGGGGGGTAAGAGGTCTGATGGAAAAGCCAGTGAACCCCTAAATTTACAATAAAAATCCTTTCTAGGCATTTCACAATACTGACTGGAGTTTCTTTTTTATTTTGTCCTCTGTCCCACCTTTTTGTCCCTTAGGGGTTTTTTTCTTACAAAATCTTTTGTTTGTGTTTTCTTGTTTTAATTTTTAGCACTTTGGGATTTTCAGCCTATAAGCTCTAATGATCATTCTTACACATGGATTCTTAGCCACAGCAAGTTTCTGCAGGGAAAATTGCAGCTTTGCTTGAACTCAGAAATTTCACCTGCTTATTTGTCCTGCAGAAATAACATACAATGCTGGAAAAGTATCATTATTATTATGCACTGTTGTAATCCATAATCATATAGAGGTATTTTGCACCTCACACTTCCTCTGCCTGATGGTGTGCAATGGAGTGAGGAAGGTACGGTATTATTTGACAGGAAATGTTTGCCTATGGAGCTGCAATTTTCCAATACCCCGAGGTCACTGTCAATTGATTTCAAATTTTTTCAGCACACCAGCCCACTGCTACAATCCCATCACGCTCAATTCAAGCAATTTGTCGTTCATCATAGAAAAGAAATTGGGAGGCTATAGTCACGCTGTCAGCTGTGTTTGAAAACTCTGTTTCTGCTGCCGCTGAAAAATGAAACAATCACCGTGAAGTGGAAGGAAGAAAAATGTGAACGGATACGTCTTCCATTCTAAATGGCACGTCTCAATTTGGGTGTCTACTGTCGTTCGACAACAAAGACATGGCATTGTCCAACACTGTACAGCGTGGAGTCTAAAAACTGTTTGCCAACCTCAATATTCTTCCTGCAGCAATATAATCAGACTGATGTTAAGGATTTCTAAAATCACTGGGACAGTTATTTCCTTGTATTGCCAATGATGTTACTTTCTTAACAGGTTGGCCCTTCTCCAACACGGTGTGTAAGATGAGCGGCTTTGTGCAGGGCGTGTCAGTGTCTGCATCAGTCTTCACCCTTGTGGCTATTGCTGTTGAAAGGTAAGTGCACATTGTTCTTTGGTTCTTGATGGAATATAACACAATAACAGAGAAATAATTAATGGACAAATATATAAAAATTCTAATAATGTTAGTGGTGCAATGTTTGCTCTATTCCTATTTCATTTTAGAATAATACTATTTACTAACAGCAGCGGACAAATATACACTTTTGGCCTAATGATGGTATGAAAAGTGAGAGTAAAACCAGATGTATGTAGGTTTATAGATATCCTAAGGCAAAGGTGTCAAACTCTGGCCCGCGGGCCAAATTTGGCCCGCAGACTAATTACATTTGGCCCGCGAAGCCATACCAAATTACTATTAGAGCTGGCCTACTGGTATTATACAGCTAATATATATATTGTTTAGTATTAAGCTTTGCTTGTTCCATATTCAGTTTTTCAGCAAAATGTGTTTGAGTCCATAAGAAAAGATTCATTCTTAAATCTGGAGGAATAAATATATTTCAATAAATATTAGTGTTAGCCCGTGACTTTGTTCCAGTTTTGAATTTTGGCCCACTGTGTATTTGAGTTTGACACCCCTGTCCTAAGGTGAACCTCACTGCAGCCAAATCCAGTAAAGAAGTTACTGAGATATTTCACTTCAAAACCACAAGACAAACATCAATGCAATAATCAAAAGCTCAAGAGATTGGTTTATTGGCAATTCTAAATAGGCCATAGGTGTTAATGGTTGTTTGTCTCTCCATTAGCACAAGTAATGACATGATTGTAATTGTAATGTAATTACTGGAGGTAGCAGTTACTCATTACAATACTGTATCCTGAAAAATTTAATATGATCACAGTTACACTCAGCACTACTGATTTTCTGCCTTGCACACAGCGATTGCTTGAACAATTATGTTACTGACTCGGTTTGTCATGAACTGGCTGTGTGGAGGCAGATGAGGACCCAAACGCAAAACTCACAGAGACAGGAACTGAACTCAAAATCACTGATTTATTGCAGGCTTCACAAAGAAACAGAACTAAACTGGGAATGCTAACAGAAGACCAAGGGAACACAGAAAGGCACACAGGTTCGGGGAGGAGACATTGACGACGCGACACCGAACTGAGGGAGACATGCACATAAATACACAGAGGGTTAACGAGGGAAGTGGGAGCACACGGGAAACACAGCTGACACATAATCATAACAAGACACGGCAGGAGTGAACACAACACTGACGGGAGACTGTCAAAGTAAAACAGGAAGTACACAGAGGTGCAGACAGGAGGAGAGAGAGAGACAGGAGAGCACAGGCATAGCGGGCTGGGGAAACATGGAATAAAACACAAGGAGGGGAGACGAGGGCTCACAGATACACAGAGGGTCACACAGGGGGTAAAAGTCACAACAGGAAATCAAATAAGAAACAACTTAACAGAGCAACCCAGGAACCATGGCCTAAATAAAGAACAAAATACAAAAATACATGAAAACTAAGAATGCTGGGCCAACATGGCCCAGGATCATGACACGGTGCAAATTAACCAAACTATTTTCAAAATGTTCCTGCTGCTGTTTCAGTTACACTTATTTTTCCAGCCTTTTGCTATACCGGTCGCAACATTTTTAAGATGTGTTGCTGATATCAAATTCAAATTGAGCTAATATTTTCCATTAAATGTGAAATTGTCTCAGTTTAAGCATTTGATGCATTTTCTGTGTTATACTGTGAATAAAATGTGAATCTGTGAGATTTGCAAGTCACTGCGTTTAGTTTTATTTTTACATTTCACAAAGCACCCGAACCTTTCTGGGAACGCCGTTGTTTTTACTTATACATTTAAGTTGGACAGTCCAACCAGCCATACCCAGACTGACAAAAAACCCCAAATATTTAACAGCTTTATTTTGTCACTTATTGCTAAGATCACTCTAGGAACTTGCAACCAACATTAATGCAAGGATGTGCAGTCAACTTGTGATCCTGTTGCCTTTGAAATCTGTTTTGTTTTTTTG